TGGGAGTGCAGTGGCGCTCCCGCCGAGGGTTCGGATCCCACATACAGACCGGTTCCCGCTCACTGGCTGAGCAAGGTGCGGGCGCAGCACTGAGGTTTGCAATCCCGTTGCTGGTCCCGGTCCAGTACGGGTGCGACACTGAGGGTTGCGATCCGTTGCCGGACACGAAAAAAGACAAAAAAAGGAAAAAAAAAAAAAAAAGAATAATTTAATCAGACAAGAACGTTCATGGATGGAAAGTCTTAACCCTACAGGAAGATATCCAAGATAGCTGATTTAAGTCAGGGCTTAGAGGGCTAGGGTTTCCTGAAGGATGGAATAGAATCAGAGATTGGCCAAACCCTGCATTCCATGGACCCATCTCACCTCAAGATTTTTCCTTCAAATGCACAATTTTAAAGCTGCAGTGATTATACATGCTGTTATTTACTCTATTTTTATCTTCTCTTCCTAATTCTGACATAAAGAGATTCTTCAAAATTAGAGAGCAAGGAAGTTTCTTGCCTAGAGGAACCAATGCAAGACATAAACTGGGAGACAAAAATCTGCAAAATATATATCCAAAAAAGGGCATATTCAGATTATATAAAAAACTCTTATGGGCCGGCCCGTGGCTCACTCGGGAGAGTGCGGTGCTGATAACACCAACGCCACAGGGTCGGATCCTATATTGGGATGGCCGGTTGGCTCACTGGCTGAGTGTGGTGCTGACAACACCAAGCCAAGGGTTGAGATCCCCTTACTGGTCATCTTTTTAAAAAAAAAAAAAAAAAACTCTTATAACTCAATAATTAAAAAGATTGACAACAACAAAAAACAATAAAAAATCAACATTCTGCCATTTGAAGCAACATGGGTGAACTTGCAAAATATTATGTTAAGTGAAATAAGCTGGGCACAGAAAGAGACATACCCCATCTTCTCACTCATATGTGGAAGGTAAAAAAGTTAATTTCATAGAAGTAGAGAGTAGAATAGTGGTTAGTAGAGACTAGTAAGGGGAAGGGGGAAGGAGGAGGGGGGAGGGGGGAAGGGGGAGGGGGATAGAAGAGGGGAGAGGGGAGATGGGAAGATGATAGTCAGTGGATAGAAAATAGTAGAGAGATAGGAAGAACAGGATCTAGTGTTCTACAGTTACATAGGGAAACTACAATCCACAACAAAGTATTGTGTATCTCTGAGTAGCTAGTGGAGATTATGTTGAATGTTCCCAACACAAAGAGATGGCAAATGTTTGAGGTAATGGATATACTAAGCACCCTAGTATGCACACAGTATGAATGTACCCAAATATTATATCATACTCCATAAATATATACAATTATCATGGATTGATTAAGAAAAAAAAATTGAAAAAAGAGAAGTAGACAGTAGGATAGTGGTTGCCAGAGGCAAGGAAAAGAAGGGTGGCAAGGAGGGTGGTGAGGAAAGGTTGGTAGACCTGTACAAAGTTACAGTTAGACAGGAAGAATAAGTTTGGTGCCCTAAGGTTACAATAGCTAATAATATTGTATATTTCAAATAGCCAAAAAGAGGATCTTGAGTGTTATAACCACAAAGAAATGATAAATGTTTAGGTGATAGATATGCTAACTATTCTGATTGGATCATTATACAATATATGCATGTGTTGAAACAACAAACTGTACCCCTTCAACATGCATAATGAAATAAACAAATTTTTTAAAAAGAACAAAAGATTTGAACACACACTTTATTAAAGAAGATATACAAATGACAAGCACATAAAAAATATTCAAGATCATTAGTTAGGGAAATGTAAATTTGGGGGAATGTAAATTAATAATGCAAATCAATGCAATTAAAACCACTACACACCCACTAGAATGACTAAAATTAAAAACACCAAGTGTTAGGGCCAGCCTGTGGCTCACTTGGGAGAGCATGGTGCTGACAACACCAAGTCAAGGGTTAAGATCCCCTTACTGGTCATCTTTTAGAAATGAAAAAATAAAAATAATATGGCTGGCCTGTGGCTTACTTGGGAGAGTGTGGTGTTGGTAACACCAAGTCAGGGGTTAAGATCCCCTTACCGGTCATCTTTAAAAAAAAATAATAATAAAATAAATAAATAAATAAATAAATAAATAAATAAAAAACCACTAAGTGTTGATAAAGACTCATACACTGCCATTGGAAATGTAAAATGGTATAACCAAGTGGTGGGGGCAGGGGTGGGGTAGGCACTGGCTGGTTAGATCACTTGGTTAGAGTGTGGTGCTGATAACACCAAGGTCAAGGGTTCAGATCCTCTTATCAGCCAGCCACGGAAAAAAAAAAAAAAAAAAAAAAAAAAACTTTAGAAAACAGTTTGGCAGTCTTTTAAAAAGTTAAACATACACCTAATTTATGACCCAGTTATGAGGATACTTCAAAAAGTTCATGGAAAGATTAATATTATCTTTTAATTCTATTTTCCATGAACTCTTTGAAGTACCCTTTCATTTCACTCTTTTCCAGTTAACTAAGAGAAATGAAAACATACATCCACAGAAAGACTTGCATACAGATGTTCATTGCAGCTCTATTTGTGATAGCCAAAAACTGGAAAAAATTCAATGTGCATCAACAGTAAATGGATAAATAAATTATGGTATATTCATACAAAGGAATACTACTTAGCAATTAAAAGCAACTATTGATATATAAACAACCATGGATGAATCTTAAAATAATAATGCTGAGTGAAAGAAGTCAGACCAAAAAAGGGTACATAATGGATGATTCTATTTATATGCAATTCTAGAAGATGGTAATTAATCTATAATAACATAAAACATATTAACTGGTGCTTGAAACAAAGGTAGGGGTTAGGGTTGGGGTAGGATGGGAAAGAATGGATTACAAGGGGCACAAGGAAACTTAGGGGTGAGGGATATGTTCATTATATTAATTAAGGTGATGATTTCACAGGTATATACACACATCAAAATTAACCAAAATTTCCACTTTAAATATGTGCAGTGTATTACATGTCAATTAAACTTCAAAAAAGAAAAACCTCAATAAAATTGTTCTTTTTGGGGGGCAGCCGGCTGGTAAGGAGATTGGAACCCTTGACCTTGGTATTCTTAAAAAACTTACTTGTCATTGTTTCCAAAGAAGAGATCAGAGAGGTGGTTTTAGTGGTTGAGGTGGTTATGAGACCAAAGTTCTTTTTTTTTTTTTTTTTTTTTTTTTTTTTATTAAAAGATGACCGGTAAGGGGATCTTAACCCTTGACTTGGTGTTGTCAGCACCACGCTCAGCCAGTGAGCAAACCGGCCATCCCTATATAGGATCTGAACCCGGGGCCTTGGTGTTATCAGCACCGCACTCTCCCGAGTGAGCCACGGGCCGGCCCGAGACCAAAGTTCTGAGTCCTCTTTTATCTCAGGGGGGAAAGGAGCTGTGTGTTGAGCTCTGGGATTTTAAGATGGTTCCCATTCACCATGGGATCAGAACTGACCCTTGGCTGGTGAACACACATACTGAAAAGTCTGCTCTAGTTTTCTCTGCTTACACCAAGCAGAGGCTCTATTCCAAGGAGGCAGCTTTGGTGTTGCTTTGCCTCCCACGGATTTTGTCACCCCTTTTCCCCTGGGTGATGGAGCTGCCAAAGATAACTCAAAGCCCATCTCTTCTGAGCTGTGAGATGCCCCAGAAAGGGGTTAATATTCCATAACCCTCAAGCATAAGGCATTCCTTCTATTTGGGAAATTAACCACGAATTAGGGTTCTCTTCCTGCATTTATTCTCCAGACCAGCAAGTTACAGGAAGAGACATAGATGGGGTTTTGCTAAGTACAGTTTAACAAGTTTAACAATAGAAGCTGGTAACATTCAGTAAAAACAAGTCAGATGACATTCTATTAGGCAATTAAGTGATCCACCAACAAAAGCTTGATTTTAGCAAACACTCTTTCCCCCTCCAGCAGCTTCCCAGTAATTTACATATCAATCAGTAACTAGTTTGTCTTTGAACCAGCAGCCTTGCTGTGTTACAATTCTTTATCTTACAACAGAGACTCAATAGCCTGGGGAAAATTTCCTGTCCTTTGCAAGGTCAATATTTGAAACTGCAAGGCTTTGGAAAACCAGGCCCTGTGAAGTACGTTTGCTTTATGAATCCTCTACACTTTGGGGACAGTTTCTCCAGACCAAAAAATAAATGAGATGGTTCCTGGTAATCAAGAAAGGTTTCTACCCTTTTCCTTACTGGGTTTTTTGGGTTTGTTTGTTTTGTTTTGGCAGCTGGCAGGTAACAGGGATTAAACCAAGACCTTGGTGTTATCAACACCACACTCTGTCCAACTGAGCTCACCAGCCAGTCCCTCCTAAATGGGGTTTTGAAGACAGTCATGGGTACAATCCTTGTCTAGGTCTAAATGATCTAATAAGGAGAAAAAAATAGGATAGATTAAAAAGAAAAATTAGGTAGAATAAAAACGCTATTTGGTGGGCCAGCCTGTGGCTCACTCAGGAGAGTGCAGTGCTGATAACACCAAGGCCATGGGTTCGGATCCTATATAGGGATGGCTGGTTAGCTCACTGGCCAAGTGTGGTACTGACAACACCAAGCCAAGGGTTAAGATCCCCTTACCGGTCATCTTTTTAAAAAAACCAAAAAACGCCATTTGATATTTTTATCAAGAGAATGTGTTTTCTAGACAGGAGGTTGAATCACACCTCATGCTGGAATAAGAGGAAAAAGAGCCTCCTGAGCCCCATTAGTAGTCATTTCATATACTTCCTGAGTTTTCTCTTAAATACTTGACTTAAGATAAATTCATGGTCTCTAGACAAGATGTGATGAGAGACCTGATGGGTTAAAAAAAATTACATGTAAAAATATTCTTCATTTACCCTCTCCTGGGACTTTAGGTAAGAATATAAAAACTCAACCGTCCTTGAGCAGGATGAGCCGGGAGGAATTGGAGGACAGTTTCTTTCGACTTCGTGAAGAACACACATTGGTGAAGGAGCTTTATTGGAAGCAACAGGATGAAATCAAAAGGTACCTACAGTTCTTAAAATTTATAAGCTCTGTCTACACCAGGACTACTAACAAAAAGGAATACATTTTGCTGAGATGTCTATACCTGAAAATGATTCGATTGTCAAGGATGTTTGGCTCCAAAAATAATTTTTGAAGCAATATTGCTTTATTCTGTTTTCTTACAAAATGCATCAACAGACTGTGACCATAGGCTACAAAGCATTATCAAGAGCCTAAGAGATACTATTTTAACCCACAGAGCAGGAGGCTGGTCAGGTTCCTGCCCTGGTCACAAAAGAAGGAATGGAGACAGTGGAATTGTCAAAATTTCAGAGGAACAAAGGCTACAGGGGCAAATAAGAGAAAGGGTCATTATTTACATAACAAAACCAAAGATCATATTGATCCTTTACTATATGCAGGCAGGTCGTGCTTTATATATTAACTAATTTGACACATAAATACTATTAACTCATTTAATAGTATAAAGGAGGTATTATTAAGAGGCAAATGAGGCACAAAGAGGTTAAATAACTTGCCTAAGATCACACCTAATGAGTAGTAAAGCTGAAAGCTCTTAATTCCAAAATACACTGTGTAAAGTGGCTTTAGGTTGGATCTGGAAAGGAATCTGAGATGGGGGTGTGGGAAGATAAACAGATGGAATAATGTGAGTTCTGAAAGTCTAGGGTCCATCTCTAGAACACATTTTGAAGATATTGGTGTCAATGCTTTCCAGCCAAAAACCATGAGGAACATAACTGTAGTTGAGCAAGATGGGTTTATTACTTGTTACAGTTAGAGAAAACGTACACCATGGGCAACTAAAGGCATCTCAGTAAATGTGTTAAAACCTATTACAGCATTTGGGCTTTGGTTGGGTGATTTGGGAGAGGATTCAAGGAAATAAGGATTTGCTTCTGATTTGGTGCTGTCAGAAAATGGGGACAATTTTATGTCTGTGTATCTCAATAACTCTTATCTACAGGGAGGTTAGACCAGAGCAAGGCTGAAGCTGTGATTGGTAAAGAAGTTGCAGTCACCCATATTGGCCTGAAGTGAAGGAGGATGTATTACTATTTTGTAGGTGTGTTTTGCTTGGGTTAGACAAAATTATGCAGTAGACTCTGTCATGGTCTCGGAGTGACCTTGTCTGACATTAGTATTTGATTTTGTCCAACAGGAGAATAACATGGTCTAACTGTGAGCACCAGGCCAGCTTCAAACAACACAAAACTAGCTATGTTGAACTTGTTCCCTGATGTCAAGGGCAGCTTTTTGCTTTCTCGCTGTAACCCCCAGGAGTGATTCAGATTTTCACCAAGAATCTACAGGATTATAGGCTTCCACTGTAGATGAGTACTCTTTTATTTTGGCGGCTGGTCAGTATAAAGAACCAAACCCTTGACCCTGGTGTTACAAGGCCATGCTCTCACCAACTGAGCTAACCGACCAGCCCACACTCTTCAGAGTTGGTGATTCTTGGGCCGGCCCGTGGCTCACTTGGTAGAGTGTGGTGCTGATAACACCAAGGCCCCGGGTTCGGATCCCATATAGGGATGGCCGGTTCGCTCACTGGCTGAGCGTGGTGCTGACAACACCAAGTCGAGGGTTAAGATCCCCTTACCGGTCATTTTTTAAAAAAAAAAAAAAAAAAAGAGTTGGTGATTCTTGGGCTGGCTGCTTAGCTCGGTTGGTTAGAGCGAGGTGCTGATAACACCAACGTCCAGGGTTTGATCCCTCTACTGGCCAGCTGCCAAACAAAAAACAAAAAAACAGAGTTGGTGATTCTTTTATACTGTGGAGATTGTGGGAATCTGGTGAAGTCAGAAGGTTGCATGAGCCAAATAATCTTGCTTCTTGGTTAATAACCAACAAGTACTTGAGATTATGGATTTTAAATGGTTAAACTGGATTCTATCTTCCTGGCTTTGGGCAAGTTACCTAACTATTTTATCCCTTGATTTCTTTATCTGGACCTGAAGTGCTTTGCCCCCCATGGATTTGTCACCCCACTTTCCCTGGGTGACAGAGATGCAAAGGATTACTCAAAGCCCATCTCTTCTGAGCAGTAAGAGGCCCCAAAGTGGTTAACTTACCTGGGAACCCTCAAGCAAGAGGCAACCCTTCCTTGGGAAAATTAATGCCGAATTGGGGTTCTCTTCCTGCATTTATTTTCCAGACCAGGAAGTTACAGGAAGAGAACAAAGGTGGGGTTATAGTTTAACAGTATAGGCTGGTAACTTTCAGTGAAACAAGCCAGATGACATTCCAGTAAGGCAATTAACAAAAGCTTGATCTTAGCAAACATTCCTTCTCCCTCTGACAATTTTCCAGTATGTTTACATTTCAATCAGTAACTCGTCTGTTTTTGAACCAGCAACCTTGCTGTGCCACAAATCTTTATCTTACACCAGAGACTTATAGCCTGAGGAAAATTTCAAGTCCTCTGCAAGGTCAATATTTGAAACTGCAAGACTTTGGAAAACCAGGCCCTGTGAAGTACATATGCTTTTTAGTATATTCCACACTAAAGTGCCTACGATGTGCCATCACTGTTCTAAGCACATTACATATACTAACTTATTTAGTCCTCACAACAGTCTAGTGAGGTAGGTACTATTTTTGTCCCTATAGATGAGGAAACAGAGCAGAGAAAGGTGAGGTGACATGCCCAAGGCCACAGTTGGTAAATGTCAGAATAGGCAGGCAGTGCATCTTAGTCAGCTGAGGTTGCCAAAACAAAATACCATAGACTGGGTAGCTTAAACAACAGAAATTTATTTTCTCACAGTTCTGGAGGCTGGAAGTCTGAGATCAGGGTGCCAGTCTGGTCAGACTCTGGTGAGGGCCCTCTTCCTACCATGCAGATTGCCTCCTTCCTGCTGTGTCCTCACATTGCTGGGGGAGAGAAAGAGAAAAAGATCTTTCACCCTCTTGTTAGAAGTCCACCGTTCTATCTCATTAGGGCCCCACCCTTCTGACCTCATTTAACATTAATAACCTCCTAAAGAATCTCCAGATACATCACAGTAAGGGTTAGGGCTTCAACATAGATTTGGAGTGGGGCAGGGAGGGCACAGTTCAGTCCATTGCACAGTGAGGCCACAGAATCTGATGGTAACAGTAAAATGCATGATTTTAGGTTAAGATAACAAATAGCAATTGACTATCCAGTATAGTTAAAGCTCAATATATACCAGGAGCTATAAAGGAGTAATCCTTAATTTGGGACACATATATAAGTGCGTGCAGAAAAATGGGATGAGAGAGGTAAATATTAAAATGTTGACTTACATTTATTTATCACCCCTTTAAAAATGAGTTGTTTTTTTTTTTTCGTGTCCGGCAACGGATCGCAACCCTTAGTGTCGCGCCTGTACTGGACTGGGACCGGCAACGGAATCGCAACCCTCAGTGCTGCGCCTGCACCTCGCTCAGCCAGTGAGCGGGAACTGGTCTGTATGTGGGATCCGAACCCTCGGCGGGAGCGTCGCCATGCTCCCAAGCGGCACACTGTAGCAGTGCGCCACCGGGCCGGCCCTAAAAATGAGTATTTTGAGGGCCGGCCCGTGGCTTACTCGGGAGAGTGCGGTGCTGATAACACCAAGGCCATGGGGTTCGGATCCTATATGAGGGATGGCCGGCTCGCTCACTGCCTGAGCACTGAGCATGATGCTGACAACACCAAGCCAAGGGTTAAGATCCCCTTACCGGTCATCTTTTCAAAAAAAATAAAAATAAAAATAAAAATAAAAAGTAGTATTTTTGTTAGTATTTTATAAATGACTATAATTTAAAAATAAACATATGCACAAATGTATTGGGAGAGTGCCCCAACGTTTTTCACTGAGATGAGTGTGTGATCACTGCAATAAAATGGGCAAACATAAACACCACAATGTCTCTGCCGTCAAAGACTTACAGTGGGGCTGACTGGTTAGCTCAGTTGGTTAGAGTGCAATGTTATAATAGCAAGGTCAAGAGTTTGGACCTCCATATCGGCCCAGGGCCGGCCTGTGGCTCACTTGGGAGAGTGTGGGGCTGATAAAACCAAGTAAAGGGTTAAGATCCCCTTACCAGTAAACTTTTTTTTTTTTTTCACTGTAGAAAGAATTTATTTGTTTGCCTCATACATGTGAAAATCTCAGTAGTGCATTTAAGTATAAATCCAATCTTTTCATTGAAGGAGTTGGGGAAAAAGTAGGAACTTTAAATTGCTTTACGCTTACATTTGAAAAGAAACCCTTAAAAAAAAACAAAACAAAAAAAAAAAAAAACGATGACCCGGTAAGGGGATCTCAACCCTTGGCTTGGTGTTGTCAGCACCACGCTCACCGAGTGAGCTAACCGGCCATCCCTATATGGGATCAGAACCCCGTGGCCTTAGTGTTATCAGCACCACACTCTCCCGAGTGAGCCAGGGCGACGGCTCTGAAAAGAAACTCTTAAATTTACTGAGAGCATATAAAAAACCCAGACCTAAAATGTTAAGGCATAAACTCTATAATTACTGGGTCTACTATTCTGCCCCCAATGCCAATTCTACACGACAAGATGGCTCATTCCATCTAAAGAGTTAAGTAACACAGGTACAAACTAATCTTGCACTGACTGCTGAAAAAGCGTTAAAATTATTAAAGGTGAAAAAGTTGTGTGTCAGTAGATGACAATCCTGGTCCTTCCTTCAAGATACCGAATCCAACGGCTCGGCTCTTCCCCAAGCTCTAAAACGTACCGCAGTCCACCCTTCTCCCCGCAATTCCTTCTTCCAGGTTAATGGGAAGCTAACCGTTTCCGTGGTGGCCGGGCTGGCCGGGACTCCGCAGGCTGTCCCCGCGTCCCCGGAAAACAAAGGGGATTCCCAGCCGTTGTCCTCGGCGGCGCTGAGCATCACCAGCACTATTACCGGTCATCTTTTTAAAAAAGAAAGAAAGAAAGAAAGAAAAACCCCCAAACTTATAGTGTATTGGGCACAGAAATAAATTAAACTTCTTTTAAAATGTAAATAATAGACCACAGTAAATGAATTCGTATCACAGATCAATTCATGATTGTCACTAAATAAGCTTTAGAAGTAAGAACTGTCATAGAAGGAGAAGCCACGTGCTCTGTTTTGCCATAGGCTGAGGACGTCCTTGCTGCGGATGACCGCTGCGGGCCGGGATCTGCGGGCCGAGGCGGCGGCGGCGCGGCCCTCGGAGCCCGCAAGGCGGCGGAACACGCGGTGGCGACAGCGCCTTTCCACGCACCAGCGCCCCGCCATGCACCAGCGCCCCCCGACGCACCCTCCACACCTCCGGCGCGCCAGTCCCCGAAAAGCCCAGGAGGGGTGAGGCCGAGCCCACGCCCCCGAAGGGGCTAAAACAAGGGGAAGGACCGATGCGCCAGCCACATTTTCCTCGCTGCTTTATTCCGCCCACCGTCCCATTTTGTTCATTTGTTCAGGCTCCCTCCTTTATGCCTCCCTAAAACCTTCTTTTCCCCAGTGGGCTGTCAGGTTCAAAATTCTCAATTCACCATGGAGTACCGCTGAGGGGAGAATCAGATAACAGGAAACGGGAGCACTGCTGGCCGGTTCTGCAGCGGGTATAGTAAAGAGACGCAGATATGACACGGAGGTCCTGCTCTGCTCGGGTATGAGGGGAGTGTTGATACCAACTGCACGTCTGGGCGATGTGGCCAGAGAGCCAGATTTCCAGAACAGCTGAGTCTCTGAAGCTGGAGTTCTCAGCCTTTGGGGGAAGTGGTCTCCTTTAAAACCACGGTCTAAGCTAAGGCCCTTCTCCCAGGAAAAATGCACATACACATAGACAAACTCCGCATACAGTTTCCGTGGGTTCAGAGATTCCCAAAGCCCACTGCTGAAGTCTAGGACTAGAAGTCAGGCTGTAAATGTGATGCATGCCAGTTGCGTCTTCTCTCCCTATATTCCAAGGAGCTGACTCTGAGGTCTGGCTTGCTCTGGCTGCTATGAAACCCAACCTTACATCTCCCGGGTAAAGGCACCCTATTCCCGTGGACCTAAATCAGGGTTGAGCAGCCTAGGTGAAAGAAATCTACACACAGCATTTTATTTAAATACTCTTGTTTTATTAATAATTTATTAATTATTTTATTATTATTTAATCATCTTATTTATTATTAATTTTTATTTTTAAATACTCATTTTAATAATTTTATTATTAACAAGTACCTATTTCTTTTGTTTAGTATGGTCCTATACTTTCAAGCCCCCTACCTCAGACAACCAAACCTTTGCAAAAACAGCTAAAAGTTAAAAAAATTCAAAGTCAAAAGCTCAGTTTCATTTAACAGTTCAGCATTTTGGGGCACCCATTATGTACCAGGCACTAGAGATGAAGATGCGTTAAGGTTTACACACACAGTCCTTGCCCTGGACAAGCTTGCACCTTTCTTTCTTCCCATTTGTACTCATTCACTCGAGAGTCTGTTGTGCTGCTGATTTATGAACTTTGTAGTTGCAGTTCTATGCAAGAGTAAAGAAAACCTCTCCTCTGGGACCAGTTTTCATATAAGGATTTCCCTCAGATCTCAAGGCTCCCTATGTCCAGCACTTGGTGTTCCAGTTTCAGCACTTGGTGTTCTGGAGGGTACTGTTGCCAGAACCTGCATCTTTTGCCTAAATTTTCAGGGCTAAGAGACAGGGTGAGCTACACAGCACCTCCCACATTCAAGGAGCATGTGACAAATGGAAAAACCAGAGGTGAAATAACCAGTGAACCCAGCGAACTGTGAGTTCTTTTCTTTTATCCTGTTTATGCTGTTACTCCTGCAGCTTTAGCTGAAAGTGCATCATTTAGGGAACAAGTTGTGTGTATGTGTGTGGTTTTTTGTTTTTTTGTGTGTGTGACCGGTAAGGGGATCGGAACCCTTGGCTTGATGTTGCTCGCACCACGCTCAGCCAGTGAGTGCACCTGCCATCCCTATGTAGGATCCGAACCCGTGGCGGGAGCACTGCTGCGCTCCCAGTGCCACACTCTCCCGAGTGAGCCACGGGGTTGGGCCCCTGTGTGGGTTTTTTTTTTAATTTTATTTTGGCAGCTGGCCAGTTCAAGGATCTGAACCCTTAAACCTTGGTGTTGTAATACCATGTTTTAACCAACTGAGCTAACCAGTGAACACTCTGCCCCCCTTTTTTCAGCAGCTGGCTAGTACAGGGATCCCAACCCTTGACCTTGGTGTTATAAGACCGTGCTTTAACCAACTGAGCTAACCAGCCAGCCCTCATTTAGGAAACAAGTGAATGTTGGCAATTTAGAGTCTTTCCATCGTAATCAGAGAAGATAAAAGTCACCCCTAGGTCAAATTCCAACTTCATTGCTTAAAAATGAAAAGCATCTCTCTGTCCTCTGAGGAAAGGAAAATAAAGCCCTTTCCTCAATTGAAAGTATTCCCTCTCTTTCCCTTTATATTTTTACCCCTTTGGTCATAATTCATTTATACTTCTGTTTGACATTTGAAAACTGTATTTTGTAAGATTTTCCTCCACAGGTACCGAGATTACTGACTCTTCCAATTTATTTTTATATATGTGAGAGCCCAATTCTAAGCCCCATAACAACAGTTTCTACTCCTTTTGTGTCCTTTGTTCCTAATTTTAACAATATAATTTCTTTTAGCAAAGTCATAATTATGGTTAAACTCATTGGACTATGCAGGCTTAACAGTGCCCACATTATGGACAACGATACTATGCAAGTGGAAGAACCAGCCAAGTCTCCTGAGAAGATGTGGTCCAAAGTTGAAAATTTTGAGCAGAGTAGCTCGTTGGAGTGTGCTCAGAAGGCCGCAGAGCTTCGGTAAGAGTGTGACATTCCATGCCTCAAACCATAATGAACTGAAAAAGTAACAGATTCTTATTTGCTCATTTCCTCTATCTCAAAAGAAAAGAGAATGTTTAAGAGTAAATCCAATCTGAGAAGTAGACCCGGAGTCCTTAGTAAGCAAGAAATGAATTAACTAAAGAGGATGCTTATAGATAATAGAATATTTGCTGCTTCACTTCATAGAAGTTAAAACTATTTCATCTTCATCAACAGACAGGCGTTCTCAGAACTCACAGTGCATCAGTCCCTGGAGAGCTTTTTCTTTTTTTTTTAATAGACTTTATTTTTTAGAGCAGTTTTAGTTTCACAGCAAAATTGAGCAGGAAATACAGAGTTCCCATATACCTCCTGCCTCCACACACGCATAGCCTCCCCACTATCAACATCCCCCATCAGAGTGGTACATTCGCTACAATTGATGAGCCTACACTGACCCGTCATTATCACCTAAATGCCATAGTTTACATTAGGGTTTGCTTTTGGTGTTGTACATTCTATGAGTTTTGACAAATGTGTAAGAACATGTAACCACCATTATAGTAACATACAGACTTTCGCTGCCCTAAAAATCCTCTGTGCTCTGCCTATTCTTGTCTCCCTCCTTCCTTACCCCTACCAACCACTGATCTTTTCACTGTCTCTGGAGTCTTACCTTTTTCTAGAATGTCTAATAGTTGGAATCATAACATATGTAGCCTTTTCAGGTTGGCTTCTTTCACTTAGGAATGTGCATTTAAGGTCTCTCATGCCTTTTCATGGCTTGACAGCGCACTTCTTTTTAACAGTGAATAGCATTCCATTGTCTGGATGTACCACAGTTTATCTACCCATTAGCACTGAAGAATATCTTGCTGTGTCCAAATTTTGGCAGTTAAGAATAAAGCTACAATAAACATCATGTGCAGGTTTTTGTGTGGATATAAGTTTTTAACCTGGAGACCTTTTAAAACCACAGATGCCTGGGCCCCACCCCAGAGATTCTCTTTCACTTATTTGGAGGTGGAGTCTAGGCAGTGTAATTTTGAAGATCTCTCCAGGTGATTCTAATGAGCAGAATGTACAGACACTCCCCGCATCTGGTGTGTTGTGGGAAAAGAGGAAGGCAAGAGACAAGGGAAAGAGACTGGTGCACAGTCAAGGGGAAAAGGTGCTTAACTCTGTCCATTCTCAGGGAGAATATTTTAGCACCTTCTTTCTACAGAGCTACCATTAAGGAGAAAGTAGAGCTGATTCAACTTAAGAAGCTCTTACATGAAAGGAATATTTCATTGGTAGCAACAAAAGCACAATTAACAGAAGTTCAAGAGGTGAGTTGCCATCATCAGCTGTACTTTCTTGGGGGGGGGAAACCAATTAGTTAAACGATGAGTACTATTTTCTCCATTTTACAGCAATTCAGAGAGACCAAGTTACTTGTCTAAAGTCACACAACTTATAGATGATATTCAAACCCAAGCCTTGCAACTCAGAGTTCATTCTTTCCCCAACATTTCCCATTATTTCTCTATTAGAAAGAAGGCTCAAGTCCTGCCCACTAAGAGGGAATTTAGTGGAGTTAACATGTGCCAGGGTTAAGGTCTCAGTGAAGGATCTCCTAGAATGTAGTCAAATTGGGAAGCCAAGAGCAGTCACAGGGGAAGGAAAGGAAACCAGCCTTTACTGAGCACTTTCAATGTGCTGGGCTCTGTTCCACATACTTACAGCCATGATCTCTTTTAAGCCTGACAGTAACCATTAACGTATGAGGGAACTGCGCCTCAAAGAAGTTAAGTAACTTTCTCAAGTCATAAAAATAGTAAGGGGCATAGCAAGATTTGAGTCCAGACTGGCACCAAGGCTTTTTTCTTGTCGCCACACATTAGAAACTATTATCTGAATGGTGGAAATAGGGTATCAACGGTCTAAGTAATGGGTCAGCAGCATTCTTTTACTGAACAAATATTTATTGAATACAAGGAGTTGTGCAAAGCACTGGGATACAAAGGTTACAGAGATAAGTAAGACAGCTCCTGCCTCAAGGAATTTATAGGAGAGAACAGCCTGTGAACAAGCACAACAATACATAAGCAGGGTGTGGGGGGACACAAAAGAAAGTGTAGTCGGACCCACCAGAGGACAATGCGCAGGATCAGAGAAGAATTCTTAAAGGAGTAGGTTCATGAATAGTAAATACTGAAAGATAAGCAAGTGTTAAAAAGGGTGCAAGAGGGGCCAGCCCAGTGGCGCACTGGATAAGTGCGCCACTTGGGAAGCGCGGCGGCGCTCCCGCCCGAGGGTTTGGATCCCACATGCAGACCGGTTCCCGCTCACTGGCGGAGCGAGGCACGGGAGCAACGCCGAGGGTTGCGATCCCGTTGCCGGTCCCCGGTCCGGTACGGGGGCAACACTGAGGGTTGCGATCCGTTGCCGGACACGGAAAAAGACAAATAAATAAATAAATAAATAAATAAAAAGGGTGCAAGAGAGGGAAAGACTTTCCAGGGGAGAGGAGGTGTAGGCCAAGGCACAGAGATAAGAAACATCAGGGAGGGGGGGGTCATGGAGACCATACTAGAAATTTAGCCTTATCCTGTAACAATGGAGAGCTGAGGAAGGGTTCTTTTTTGGGGGGTGGCTGGCCGATCAGAACCCTTGACCTTGGTGTTGTAACACTATGGTCTGACTAACTGAGCTATCAGGCCAGCTTATGTGGAAGGGTTCTAAGCAAGTTGATACCATGATCAATTTTTTTTCCCAAAAAGATCACTATGCCTTTTTTTTAAATGTCTGGAATATTTTGAAACACATTTTAATAGATTTTTTTTAAAGAATACTTTTGGAAAACTATTATAAAGCAGTAATAGTGATTAATTCTGGGTAGTAGAAATATAGATGACTGTTATTATATATAGTCTTTATACCTTTCTGGAATTTTCAAATTTCTCAAAAATCACGAAGCCATGAGAAAGATCATCTGACAGCAGAATGAATGATAGACTGGCTGATACAAGACTGGAGGCAAAGAAATCAGATAAAAGACTACTGCAGGCAGGGGTCTAAAAGGAAACAGGATGAGGGTCTCAACTAAGGCAGTGAGAGAGATCTGCAGAGAAACAGACCTATTGGCAAAGGTTCAGGAAGTAGAAGAATGGACTTCATCACCAAAGGGGAGGGAGTGAGGGAAAAGTAGAAATGAAAGGTAACTCCTGGGTTTCTAGCTTGGGTGATTAGATGATGGCCATGCTGTTCATAGAGATTGGATCTGGCTACAGTTAGCACTGTCCTAGGTACATCTGTTCTGATAAGGATTACAGGATCTTTATGAGGCCAACCCCCAAACCTAAGTTTTGTAGAGAACTATGCATATGCTTGTATTCACTTAATCTGGTTAATTCTGGTAGCATTTAAAGAATGTGGAAATACAGTAAAGAAAGTAATTTAAAGTTGTATTGGTAAATAGCTGTTTTTATAGAATTGGATTTTTAAAACATCCATCTATATTCCTCTATTGCATTAAAGGGAAAAAAGGAAGAAGGCCATTCTAAATTGAATTTCATTACCCATGTTACACTAGTAGAGACAACCTAAAATGATTAATAATCACCCACTCTTATTTAAACTGCAGGTTTTACAATTTTTCTTTAGCAATTTACCTTTCTTTCTTTCTTTTTTTTTTTTTTAAGATGGCCCGTAAGGGGATCTTAACCCTTGACTTGGTGTTGTCAGCACCACGCTCTCCCAAGTGAGCCAACCATCCATAGGGGATCTTAACCCTTGACTTGGTGTTGTCAGCACCACGCTCTCCCAAGTGAGCCAACCATCCATAGGGGATCTTAACCCTTGACTTGGTGTTGTCAGCACCACGCTCTCCCAAGTGAGCCAACTATCCATCCCTATATATGGATCCGAACCTGTGGCCTTGGTGTTATCAGCACCACACTCTCCCGAGTGAGCCACAGGTCGGCCCAGTAATTTACCTTTCTAGTTATGCTTTCTAACACATATACTAAAATAAGCTTGCATTCTCTTAATCCCTTAGCAGTGAAATGTAGTGGTCAGTAGCACTGACTGTAGTCAGACAGGCTGGGTTAAAGTTCTGCCTTTTCCTCTTGCTAGCTATGTGATTCTCAGCAAGTGGCTTAGCTCTCTGAGCTTTGGTTTCTCATTTTTAAGGTTTAGATAATAATCCCTGCCTCTCATATTTGTTGCATGGATTAAATAAGGTATATGTGAAACAATCATAATGATAATAATGTAGCACGTAATGAAACACACAAGTAACATATAACACATTAGTAACTGGTCAACTAATAGTAGTCCTTGTTATAATTATGATTGTTTTTTTCTCTTCCTAAAATCGAAGAGACTTTTCTGAAGCATACTGAGTAACAGATAGCATCTAGTTTGACATTAAACATTTTTCTTGGATAACCCACCAAGTACAAAGCAAATGTAAATAAATGACCATTCTTTTTTAAGAAATGGTGTGATTGATTATATTCAGAGACTACCTGGTAAGATCGGGCAAGGGAAATACAGCAGCAATTAGAAGATAGGTACACAAATAGACTTTATTTGGGGGATTTTTATAATATCCTTAAAAATAAATATTAAACATTCGTATTACATAGATAAACATTAAACATATTTTGAAATTGATAAATCAGTAAAATAATACTTATTTCTTTCTTCCAGGCATATGAAACCTTGCTCCAGAAGGTACTTAATAAAGATTCTTTGAATATCTGCTTCTTAGTAATCAGAGTAATCAAACCCACAGAAATCCATATTCATCTCCAAATAACATAACACCAGAATTTAGCCAAGTAAATCAAAGTTATTATGTCATGTAGTTTCTATTAAGACAAATGATACTATTACTATTTTTTTATTGTGGTAAAACATACATAACATAACGTTTGCCATTTTAAGCGTTTTAAACAGACAATTGTGTGGAATTAATTACATTCACAATGCTATGTGAGTACCACCTGTATCTATTTCCCCAATTTTTTGTCATCCTAAACATAAATTCTATACGTGTTAAGCAATAACTTCTCATTATTCCTTCCTCCCAGTTGCCCAGAATGGAAAATCCTCCCTAACATGGAAACTATACTTCCAGACAAATGCCAGGGTGAAAAATAGGGTTGATCTACAGTGCAAAGGCTACATGCTACTAATCAGTCATTGTGTGTGACGTTCACTAGGGAATGCTCAGGTTGCTAGTATCTCAAGACCACTCCTGCTGAATGATATAACCATTCCCAGAGCACTTTTCCTTTTGCCCTAGAACCAGGGAATCCTGAGTGCAGCCCATGATGCCCTCCTCAGCCAAGTGAATGAACTCAGGGCAGAGCTGATGGAGGCTAGCAGGAAGGCTGTGAGCTTGAAGAGCCAACTGGAAGATGTGTCTGTCTTGCGGGTAACTCTGAAGGAGGTAATTAATAGCAGTGGAAAGATCAACTGTGCTACATTCTAATTTCAGAGATGTTAAAATGTGTATCTTGGCAACAATATGGATATTTCATTTTTTCAAGTGAGAAAAATGAGGCTCCAAGTGGGTAAATCGTTTGCTTAAGATTACACTAATGGTAAAAGGGGAAAAGCAGAGATTTATACTTAAATCTCTTCTCCAAAGTCCTTGCTCTTTCATGATGTCCTACAGCTTCCCTAACAGTAGAAACCCAGACACCATGAAAACTTACCTCAGAGAATTCTTATTAATTCCAATAAGTTTCTAGCCTGCCTTCAATTGGTTCAAGTCTTTTAGTTGAATGGCTCCTCATAGACACGAGAGATAAGTTTAGAAAAACTCACTGAAGCCCCACCCTGCAAGTGAAAGGAAAAATCTGTGCAGGGCAATAGATTTAAAATTTTTATGTCAAGGACCATATCATTCTTAGTTTCAGGAGAGAGTTGAAGATTTGGAAAAAGAACGAGAATTGCTGAATGACAACTACGACAAACTCTTAGAAAAGTGAGTACCAAGTTCAGGTCCCAGAGTACTGTGTGCTGTAATAGACAATTATAAAACGTACCTTCCACATTTAAAAGATAATACCTATCATTGATAAAGACATGGGGAAACTGGTACTCACTATTGTTTAGTGAGAATATAAATTGGCACAGTCTTTTTTGGAAGGGAATTTGATAGTATCTATTAAAATGTTAAACATGCATACCTTTCATACCAGCATTCCATATTTCGGAATCAAAACTGAAAAAATCCTCTGGTGTGCTGGCCGGTTAGTTCAGTTGGTTAGAGCATGGTGTTGATAACACCAAGGTCAAGGGTTTAGATCCCCATACTGGCCAGCCACCAAAAAGACACAAAAGTGATCCTCTTGTGTATGTGCAAAGATATCTACATAGTAAGAATGGCAATTACTGCATTGTTAGTAAAAAAAAAAAAAATTGGAAAACCACTCACATTTCCAATGGTAGGGGTTGATTAAATAAACAGATCATGTTGCACCCTGACCATGAAGTGCTAAAAATGAGGTAGAGAGGGCTGGCCAACTAGCTCTGTTGGTTAGAATGTGGTGTTGGTAACACCAAGTTTAAGAGTTCGGATCCCCATACTGGCAAGCAATAAAAAAAAAGAAGAGGTAGATATATTAAGAGAAAAAGCAAGTTTCAAAAGAATATATTAACTCTGACCTAGTTTATGTTTTGAGTGTGTATGGATCCACAAACTTAATGAGATGAGAGGATTATAGTAGGGCAAAGGGGCACCTTCACTTTTATTCTATATGTACTACTATATTATGCTAATTTTTCATTCTGAGCATGTATTCATGTATTAATTTTGTAATTAAAAATACCTGGAAGTTTTTAAAAATTAAAAGTGCCTTCTTACCTAGTTAAAGGCAGCCAGCTGGCTGGTGAGCTCATTTGATTAGAGTGTGGTGCTGAGAACACTAAAGTCCAGGGTTTAATCCCTGTACTGGCCAGCCACACACACACACACACACACACACACGCACACACGCACGCAAGCCAGGGGGTAGACTGGAGAGGTCTTATGGGAACATTTTGAGAAAAACTGCTGCTCTTCACCTCAGTGAAATGAAGCAGTGTGGAGATTATCCATTTTGAAGACCCTCTGTGACAGACATGATTATTGGTCTCTTCATCACTCAGAATACTATGTTCTTGGGTCATCACATGATATATGATTATGAAGTGCCAAGAAATCTTAATACTAGCATAAGCAAGTTATTCCTAGACCACATTTATTAAAATGTGTAAATGATCGAGCACTGGCCATGTGTGTTTGATACTCAAAACGGGTCTGCCCTCACAGCTAGATACTATGGGGTGCAGGGTAGAGTTGTTGAAAAGTTTAGTTTCTGCCCTTCAGTATAGTAATTTATAATCTACTTCAGAGGTAAATATTCTCCAAACTAGCCATTGGTGAAAGTACATAGAGGAAGTGGGTGAGAAACGGAAGATTTTGTTCCTCATTTCTAATCTAGCAAACCTGAGAATATTTTGGTATACATCTCCCTGCCTAAAGAAAGCCATCATGCTGGAGAAGTTCCTTGGGGTGACTTTGTGGTGTTTGCTTAGTATGATACTTGAGACCTAAACAGAAGTGATACTGAGCAACTCCTCAGTAGGACCCAAAAGTTCCAAAGCAGTTGGCAAATGACAGTTACAAATAAAGCAGGGGCAGAAAAAAACATGTAGGGGAATGAATGATGAACTAGGTTCAAGAGATGCTGAAACTGTGTAATAAAGACATTATATCACATACCTTTGAGTATCCATCTGACAATTCGCTTCCCATTTTCAGCATGCTGGACAGCAGTCATCAGCCTCACTGGAGCAATGAACTCATAGGAGAACAGCTACAGCAGCAAGTCTCTCAGTTGCAGGATCAGCTAGATGCTGAGCTGGAAGAGAGGAGAAAAGTCTTACTTCAGCTGTCTGAAGAGAAAGGTAGGTTAGGCTTTGAAAATCTCTCCTAAATGTGGCATCCTCTACATCTAGTTAGGAGAAGGGAACTTGGGCCATCACTTCTCCAATCCCCCCACTTGATCATATTCTTTTGTGGGTCATAGATAATGCTGGTAATTAGATCAGATTTTCAATCATGAGAGCATAATACCTACTTATTTACATTTATACTTTTTCCTATGTAATGTCTTTCCATTTGGGAGGATGCCAACTTTTAATTTCTTAAGTTTTTAAACATTTTATTTAAAATAAAAATTATTTAGTGAAAGTGTTGAAAATGAATTTCTCATTTCTGTCTTTTATCATTCTCATCAATCCTTTTAGAGGTGAATAGAAGCCTTTATTTTTTAGCACCTGATACCTGAAATTGAGAAGCAAATTGCTACTCTTGGCTACCACTAGCATTTAACCCCCTGTCTTAACTCTTGGATCACAGGAGATAGTCATTCAGAAGATTTTAAAATACCATTATGTGTTGCTTAACAACAGGGATACGTTCTAAGAAATGTGTCATTAGGCGATTTCATCACTTTGTGAACATTACATAGAGTGTACTTACACACACCTAGATGGTATAGAGTACTTCACATGTAGGCGATATGGTCCCTATTGCTTCTAGGCTGCAAACCTGTACAGCATGTTACTGTACTGAGTACTGTAGGCAATTGTACACAATGGTATTTGTATATCTAAACATATCTAAACACAGAAAAGGTACAGTAAAAATGTTACAAAAGATGAAAAGTGGTACTGCTATATAGAGCACTTAACATGAACGGAACTTGCAGGACTGAAAGTTGCTTTGGGTAAGTCAGTGAGTGGTGAGTGAGTGCGAAGGCCTAGGACATGACTGTGCACTACTGTAGACTTTATAAACACTGTACACTTAGGATACACTGTTTATTTTTTTAAATTAAGTAACTGTGCTACAATGTTAAGACAGTTACGACATCACTAGGTAATATGAATTTTTCAACTCCATTATAATCTTATGGGGCCACTGTTGCACATGTGATGAGAAAAATATATATGACATCAAGAAAAATAGAGGCATAAAAGGATAAATCTTAAGAGCACATGCCAAGCACCCTGTAGTACATATGAAATACAAGTGAAGTCTTATAAGGACCTAAGGGGCACTTTAATTTAATCCTTTCTGTAATGCATGCTGATGAAATGATCTGCATACTGGCAAAAGACAAACGTACAACAAATTTAGTTATAGGTCTAATTGGCTTTTATATGCGATTCATGAATCAGAGTAGCCTTCATTCTACAAAATAGAATGAGAGCTCCCACCGGGCAATGGCGAAACAGTGGGTTTTGTAAGATGGGAACAAAGAAACAGAACAATAGAAAAACAAAAATACTGGTTAATATCAGGCTACTTCAGGTTACTTTTTTTGTAAGGGTTAAAGCAGAGAAGTCTTCCTTATTATGCTGACTCAGATAGCATGGAATCTCCTGTTTTGAGAAAAAGCTGACCTGTCTGCTTCCTTAAAGTTTCAGTTTGATTATGTGGCATTTAGCACTATTGACTCCATTTTGGTCTGGTCTGGTCTGTTTCGGTCTAATGCAGCTCAGTCCAAAACAACGGCCTCCCGGAATTTTCATTTAACAACACTAAACACTGATCACCTTCCATCTGTGAAAAACACACACATGCATGCACACACACGCACACACATGGAAATGCCCATCCTCCATCCAGGTCAGGGTGGATGTGGAAATAAGGGCCACAGAGAACCAATAGCTTACAAGTCAGAATAGAGCAGGGATAGAGTTACTGTTGAGATACTATTTTTTTTTTTTAAAAAAGATGACCGGTAAGGGGTCTCAACCCTTGGCTTGGTGTTGTCAACACCACGCTCAGCCAGTGAGCCAACCGGCCATCCCTATATGGGACCCGAACCCGTGGCGTTGGTGTTATCAGCACCGCACTCTCCCGAGTGAGCCACGGGCCGGCCAACTGTTGAGATACTATTTTGGATGGTGCTATCAAAAAGTTAGGACTGTCCCAATCAGTAAAGTAACTCTGTTTCTGTTTTTGTTTTGTTTTTGGAGTGCAAGTGTCACCTCAGTTTACTTGGTTGATAAGCTAGAGGCCCTTTGTAGAAATAAGAGACAATTGCTTCTTTAAGGACAAATTTATAAAATGAATTAAACATTAGTGGGAAAATTTAATTCACACTTGATCCAACTCTGACCATAGTTACTGATAACTACAGAATTTCAACTTTCTAAATCATCTTTTCCCCAGCTCAGAATGAGAATCTGAAGCTTGAAGTCACCAACATACTTCAGAAGCATAAACAGGAATTAGAGATCCACCAAAAGACAGCTACAATTTCCCAGTCACCTCACAGGCAATATGAGCCAGCTCTATTCCAGGAGACCGCTCAGATAGAGGTAAGAGCTGCTTCAAACAAACAAGTCTACTCTGCAGAGGGATCTCTGGCAAATATCCCTAGGAAATATGAAGAGATTAGAAAACTAAATAAATATTTCGATCTGATTGACGATGATATTTGGAAGTATATGAGAAGGCTGAGAGTAGAGAGAGCTTTCTGAGCTCCACCCATTTTTTCCACCCTTTACAGCTCATTAAATTTAGAATCTTTTTCAGATGAGTATTTGAAAAGATCTGCTGAAGTGCAAACAGCCATTAGAGGCTGAATAACCTCCCTTCACTTCTGCTACTAAGGACTAGGTGAGAGGGCACTTGTAAAATAATACAAATCCTCTTTTACACTTTGGAGTAAATTCTGCTGCTGGCATTTTACTACTGCAAATAACTGTTTTATGGAGAATAGTTATTACTGTACCCATCATATTTATGCTCCCTTTTATCAATGATTTTCCCTGTATAGCCCAGTGAACCAAAAAACCAAGAAGAGAAGAAACTACCCCAGATGTTAAGTGAGTTGCAACTATTGCATGCAGAGACCGCCTTGGAACTAGAAAAGACCAGGGACATGCTCATTCTACAGCGCAAAATCAACGTGTGTTATCAGGTGCAAGAAAAGGGGTGGATAAATGGGCACTGGGAATCACTCACAAGACTGGAAATGAAGCAAGACCCAAGTTTCCAGGGTTGATACCAGGTGATATGCTGTCCTGTGCAAACACAGAATGTGCTGTTTTTTGAAGAACTTAAGGGCTCTCACATGCTCCACAGTACCTTGGCACTAGGAGCCAGTGAAGGGACTGTGTGGCAAGTGTGAAGCTTCTGGGTTCAAATTTTTCCAGTCCTAGGAAAATACTACCCTATGGTACTAATAGCACAACTAGTCCTGGAGGATCTGTGAGGAACCCAAGCCTTTATCTAGAGGATGAATTTGCCCTGCTAAGGACATAGCAGAGTCTTCTTTATCCAGCAAGTGCCTCCTTTTTATATGGGCTCTTTGGTTCTGGGACAGTGGGATAGAAAAATTCAGACATTGTTTTGTTTCAGGAGGAACTGGAGGCAATGATGACAAAAGCTGATAATGAAAATAGAGATCACAAAGAAAAACTGGAGAGGTTGAGTCAACTCTTAGACATCAAGAACAACCGTATCAAGCAGCTGGAAGGTATTTTAAGAAGCCATGGCCTTCCAACATCTGGCAAGTCTTAGTACTTTGTTGTCCTCATCACAGCTAACACTCATTTTCCCTTCTGTCTAGAAGGTGTACCTGTCTAGAAGACTGCCTGTGATGTCCTTAGCATATGAGTTATCCCTCCTGTTCTTTATTCTATCACCTTTGTTGTTTTAATTCATGGTTAGCAGTTTGTTTCCCTCCATCATGTCATTAAGTTTTTCTGATTTTTCTGGATAGTTTCAACAAGGCCCAGCAATTGCTTTCAGGGGGTTGATTGTATTTTGAGATTGAGAGTGTCACTGTTGGACCTCAGGCTGGTATAACTCTCTCTTTCTCTTTTTCCCTCTTTCTTGCTCTCTCTCTCCCCATTGTTTCCTCAACCCAACCCTATATAGCAGTTTTTATCAGGTAATAGAGCTTCATCACTCATATTCCATCATCCTTTTCTGTGATTTCTCTCTAAAAATCTCTAAAATCTTTGTTGGAGTCTGAGGATATTGACAGTAACAGAGAAGCTGGTAGGACACTTCATGCAAGTTTCACATTGTGGTAGTTCCTATATTAAGTAGTCACTGCTGACCAGGGTCTGGTCTCAGCCTTGTAGGTCAAGAAACTTGGCTTTGTTGTTATACTCAGTGATGAAGAGACCTGAATCACACTAACCAAATTTACCAGAGACTGATATTTACACCAGAATGTTTGTTATTTTACCATGATAGTTATTCCACCGCTGCCAGGAGAATATTCGGAACCACTTTTCAGTACAGCCCTCTCTCTGGCAAGCAGAATCAGTAAGCAGGTTTCTTAGTGAGCATGGAACTAGAATAGAGATGAGTCTTTCTGAGGCATGCCAGGGTGAGTCTGGTAAAACGTCGCCACCACATAACAAGGAAAACTCCCCTTTGGATTGAAATTGTTACATCTTTCAGATTCAGGGTCTTTCTTCCGGGACAATGTAGGATAAATACCATTAACTACTTCTGAAGATTCATTTGGTTTAACTTATAGTTCTTTGATTAATGATAAGGCTGAATGGTTTTTCATATGTTTACCAATTATTTGTATTATTTCTTTTGAGAATCGCCTATTCCTGTCTTTTGCCCATTTCTTAGTAGTATTTTATTGATTTGCAAAAGTTCTTTATATGGTAAGATTACTAACCCTGTGTCACATAATGCAAAATTTTAAATATATTTTATTTAGTTATATTAATCTTATCAATTAAGAAATCATTATCCATCATTAGTCAATTTCTTTATTTGATTTCTTTTTTGGACACGAAGACATTCTTGTTCTACTGCTTTAAACTCTTAAACTAGGGCCTCCATCATCAACACACTGTGATGACTCAAATACTCTAATTTGAAGCAGACTGTATATCAAAGTTTCTGATTGGTTGGACGTGGTAGGTAATGCCTAGATTTGGTAGACTGTCCACAGATCTTTGCATCCCATTGCCAATATTTTCAACCTCTTCCTAGTAAGTCTGCTCTTCCACTTTTTACTTTATTACTCTTTGTCTTAAAGTTTCTTTAATGTAAATTGCCTTCTTACAATGAAACCAAATTCTGGACAGGATGAAAACTCTTGTGACTGATCTGAGTGGAGAAGGGGAAGCATTTCTCAGTGGGGTCCAATGTAATGTAATGGACATTATGTGTATAACTTGCTTTTCTCTTTATGGCCAATATACCAAACTTTTGGAAATATTCAGTTTGTGTTTCTAGTGCTTCTCTTATGAAATTACCAATTAATTCATAGGACCTTACGGGAAACCAAAAGAGTGTCATCTATATGATAAAATGTGCCCCCAGTGTTATCCAGAGTTTAGCACTCATTTCTACAATCACTCATTTGCACATTCTCTCTAAAGCAGGCATTGGATTGTTTGGCCATCAGAATTCAAAGCTGCTGGCTGTCATCTATTGCTTTTCCTTTTGAATCACATGGTTTCTTGAAATAATCACCACTTGGATGACTACCGTGTTTTTATTCTCCTTCTGTTCACCCCTTTTATCCTAAGGAAGAGCTCCCTACCCTTTAATGGATGGGCAGTTTTCTTTCCCCTCTAGAGCAGCTCAAAGATGTTGCTTATGGCACCCGACAGTTGTCATTATCTCTGGGAACACAGCCAGCCCATGGAGATGAGGATAAAGTGGATATTTCTCTGCTGCATCAGAGTGAGAATCTTTTTGAACTGCACATCCACCAGGCCTTCTTGACATCTGCTGCCCTGGCTCAGGCTGGAGACACCCAACCTACTACTTTCTGCACCTATTCTTTCTATGATTTTGAAACTCACTGTACCCCATTATGTGTGGGGCCACAGCCTCTCTATGACTTTACCTCCCAGTATGTGGTGGAGACAGATTCCCTTTTCTTACACTACCTTCAAGGGGTGTCAGCCCAGCTTGATATATACCAGGCTGTGGCCACTGAGCACCACACCCTTGCAACTGGATGGATTTGCTTTGACAGAGTGATAGAGACTGTGGAGAAAGTCCATGGGTCGGCCACACTTACTGGTAAGTGCTCTTGACTTCTTGCAGCTCCTAGGACCAGTGCAGCATTTCCCAAAGTCTGTAGTAGTTGCTCTTTCAGTGGTTTCCTGTTCTCTTCCTCTGCCTTTATTCCTGATCCTTCCCACACCATCTCTATTCTCCATACCTTTCATACTTTCTGCTATCCAGGAGTTGGTGGAGAAGACTTCGGGGTGCTAGAGTACTGGATGAGGCTGCGCTTCCCCATAACACCCAGCCTACAGGCATGCAATAAGCGAAAGAAAGCCCAGGCCTACCTGTCAGCCAATGTAGTTGGAGCCGGGGAGGCCCAGGAGGATGAGGTGAGAAAAAGAATGTGCCCATGCATCTCAGAGGAGCCTCAGCCAAACAGCTCATGAGAACAGCTCAGTGTTCTACGCTCAATAAGTATTTGTTGAATGTGAAAGAAAGAGAAAAACCATCACACCCCAACTAGTACAGAGTCTTCCTTTGGTCAAGTTTGAGTTTGAAATGAAATCATGCCGTTGGAGCTAGCTACCTCTCTTTGTTATGAACAAAAGTGTTTCCCTGTGCACTTCTCTAAGATAGGGCCAAGTGCTAGTGTCTCTCTCAGATAACTGCCAGAGCCAGTTTGCAGGCAGTGAATGTTATTAGATTTCTCTGTGACACAGTCAGGGTAACAATTCTTTAGGTTGTAGCTTTTCCTCACCAAGGATGTTGGACTTTACTTACAACAATACTCTCAGGCTGCCCTTTTCCTCAACCCAAGACCAACATCTTTCCAGTCCAGATCAGAGATGTGGAAACCTCAGAATGAGCTGCGGATTGAAATCACCAAGTGCTGCGGCCTCCGGAGTCGACGGCTGGGAACTCAGCCCAGTCCATATGCCATGTACCGCTTCTTCACTTTTTCTGACCATGACACTGCCATCATTCCAGCCAGTAACAGTCCCTACTTTAGAGACCAGGCTCGATTCCCAGTGCTTGTGACCGCTGACCTGGATCAATATCTGAAACGGGAGGCCCTGTCTATATACGTTTTTGATGATGAAGACTCAGAGCCTGGCTCATACCTTGGCAGAGTCCAAGTGCCCTTGCTGCCTCTTGCGCAAAATAAATCTATTAAAGGTGGGAGTTTGAGGTTATTACATCTTTCTGCTGTCTTCCCAGTGTTATCTCCCTGTCCTGATGCTGCTTTTATGGGATTACTTGCTTGGAACAGTCTCTCTTAAAATGTACTGAAAGGACTTTAGAATATTATCAAGAGCAACAGAGCAAAAGACTTAGAGCCTCACTATTCATATGGAAATATTGGCTTTTTCTGCTTTTTTTCAACAACAAAAACAAGATTCCCAAGTGAGTAGACCCACCAACCTGAATTCCATGCCTCCATCTCTTGAACAAACATTTCAACCTCTATAGTGCTTCCCAGTATTTGTCTTTATTTAAGGCCTTTTTCTTAGTGCATGACTAGATATCTGATTATGAACTACGACCTTAACGCTCCTCACAATTCTTTCACTTCTTTTAAACATTAGATACAAGTTAGTGAGACTCCCATGCCAGACCACGACAGAGGCAAATTTGTTGGATTTTCCCCCAATATAGAGCTGAGCTCCATACTATCTTACCTTGCTTTTATACCCAGGGTTGTGGGGTGCACCTAGGAGTGTCTGCTCTCTGGCTAAAGTCCTGCAAGGGTGAGGCAGGGGTGTCATGCTCTAATTAGGATGTGTGGATAGGTACAGTCAGTACCAACCATATTTAACAAGTTTCTGGATGCTCCAGGAAGTATGTTAGGCCTCCCTCCTCCCAATACCACAACTGTTAAAAAAAAAAAAAAAAAAGCTGACCTTTCTACTGACAACTCCTTCGCCAAAGAGGAGAGGCAGTGTGAGCCATCTGTTAACCAGTGTTATAAATCAGAAGTCTGGCATTTGGAAAAAAACCATTTTTCTTAAGTTTTCTCTGGGCCACTTAAGTGTAGATGCTGGTTTTCTTGGTATGCCTAAGGTACAGTAAGCATTTGATGATAGTAGTAATAACGCAATTTTGTTTCTTGGCTGGATGACTGATGACAAGCAAGCTGTGTTCCTCTCCATACATCTTCTATCTCTTCCTGAAACCTGGAGATAACCATCTTTCCCTATGAATATTCTAACTACTCTGCTATTTTATGTTATTTCTGAGAGTATCATCATGATTATTTGATATATGTTAATTAATTACTAACAAAATGTAATGAAATAAAAAATGGGGGAGAAATAAATAAGATGCTGTAAATGCTCATTTGCCTATTTCATGTGATCAGGTCTTATTAATGTCTGTGTGTCTCTCAGGTGGTTTTAACCTCACTGACCCTGCAGAGAAACCCAATGGATCCATTCACGTGCAACTGGATTGGAAGTCTCGTTACATACCCCCTGAGAGCTTCTTGGAACCAGAAGCTCAGACTGAGGAAAATGACACCAATGACATTTTAGAGACTTCATCTGAAGAGGAAAAGGCTTCCTTTCCTCCCCAGGTAGCTCTCCAGGACTCAGATCTAGGTAACAGATCTCTGCCAATCCTATGGAGCAGATTTAAAGGAGATAGTACTAAAATTGGAAGAAAAGAAATTCCTTCTTTAAATGTCATGTGTTTTGTGAACTTAATCTGTATCCTTGGTAAGATGCCGTGAGTCTATCCATGGAGCAAGACCTGGAATTTATTGTGGGGAGGAGACAGGGATAGCATCTCTCAGCTCTCTGGCAGGAGAGAAATGAAGTTTAATGCTAGTTCACAAATCCCTTTCTTCAGTAGCAAGGTTGTTAAGCAATCATCTTGAAAGGCTCTCTCTGATCCTTCTATTCAGGACCAGATGGCATCTGCTGAGATTCCCATTGAAGCTGGCCAGTATGTAGCAAAGAGAAAACCTCCTCAGGTGGGAGACAGAAAGGAAAAGGAACACCAGGTTGTGAGCTACTCAAGAAGAAAACATGGCAAAAGAATAAGCATCCAAGAAAAAAACAGAATGGAGTATCTTAGTCGTAATATCTTAAATGGAAATACACTGCAAGTAAGAAATCCTGAAGAACTAAAATATGGGTTGTAGTGTCCCCAGATGTATCATTCTCAGAGGTAGAAGCAAAAGCAGATGCACAAGATAAACAATAATCATAGCTCTTTGTGCCTAGCATGTGTTTCCACAAACACAAGTAGTTTAATGAACCTCTGGACTGTGTATTTCAATGTAATTTAATTCAGCATGTATGTACTCTACAATTTATGCTTAGAATTTTAATGTCACGTGTGTATGGATTTGGCATTTATTTTAAAACAAGTACTAAATTTTAAAAATTAGAAAGAGCTAGTATTAGAAAAAGAAAGAAGAGGGAGGGAGGAAGGGAGGGAGGAAGAAAACTAAGATATTATCAGCTGTATAGTATTGTTGTTCTTATTCTGAAGCAGGTGAACTACACAGAGTTGAAGTTCTCAGGGCTCAAGATCTCCACAGATGATGGTTTTAACAATCAACACAAGGAAGAGGAAATGTTATTATCCTATCCATCACTGAAACAGAAATTACCCCTACATCCTGAAAATGGTACTGTCTTTGTAAAATCAAATTTTCATATTTAATTATTTTATCATGACAGTTATTCACTTTCTTCCTCCATCTTGCAGTGCTAAACTTTTCACGGAAAATTAGTATGTAAGGACCTAGGCCCTGTTTTGTGTTACAAGTGTGATGGTTAGACCAACCAAGGCTGGAATACTCAAAGAAAGTAACTTTCGAAGTATTTATAGCTAGCTAGCTAGCTTAGTTACCTAGTATTTATCAAATGTTAATTTGCGGGGCCAGCCTGGTGGCGCACTGGATAAGTGCGCCGCTTGGGAAGCGCGGCGACGCTCCCGCCCAAGGGTTCAGATCCCACATGCAGACCGGTTCCCGCTCACTGGCTGAGCGAGGCGTGGGAGCAATGCCAAGGGTTGCAATCCCGTTGCCGGTCCCCGGTCCGGTACGGGGGCAACACTGAGGGTTGCGATCCGTTGCCGGACACGGAAAAAGACAAAAAGACAAAAAAAAAAAAAAAAATGTTAATTTGCTCCATGGCCTTATGAATTATGGTTATAAAAAAATAGGAGGAGGAGTGTGATTGGCCCATTTATGGGGTTAACCTAAATTTCTTTTAAATTAAGGCAAGACTTTGGTGTTATAATGAAAAATAGACATGATTTCAGATAATAGTAATGGCAAACTAGGTAATTCAAATCAACTAAAAAGCTAAAATTGGTATATTTTTAAAATTTTATTAATGTTTCCTAAAAGCATTAAGAGCCAACAAGACAGAGAAGAATTACCTAGCCAAGATCAGGGAAATGATTGGAGCTCAGAGAGGTGAGTTGGAACTGCTTCAGTCCTAGGACATTGCCAGTCTGGAGGAGGCTGAGGTGAGCTAGAACCATGCTTTTGGCGGACTTTTGAGATGAGGAAGTGGGGATACAATCTGAATCTGGTGTCTGTCCAGGATGGGATTTCCCACTCTCTGATCTGGGACCCTGAAGGCAGCATCGTTATGAGCTTCTTTTGCCCTGAGTGGCAGCACTGTGTTTTGGAGCACTTGCAAGAGCTGACCCGATGCCCACCAGGACTCCAGATACTGGCATTATCAGACACAGACTGCTCAACAACTGTTTTTACTAGCTTCATGAAAATAAAAACCGAGCTTTAAAACTTCAGGAAGGAACTGAAGCTATGAAAATTGGTATTTTAAGTTTTACAAAAATGTGTTATAAAATAATTTCAAATTCACATAAGAGCTGCATGAATAAGACAAAAAATTCACCTATACCCTTTGCTCAAATTCATCAACTGTTAACATTTTGCTACTTTATCACTTTTTTCTGAAGCATTTGAGAATTGCAAACATCATGTCCTCTTATCATTATATATTCATTTTCTTAAGAAAATTATATAACCACAGTACAATAATCAAATTTGCAAAACTCAACATAAGTATATTATCACCTTATGTCCAGAATTTGAAAATTGTCTAATAATGTCCATTATAGCAGGCTTTTTTTTTTCTTTTTTAATCCAGGATCATGCATTGGATTTAGTCATCTCTCTTTAGTTTTGTTTAATCTGGAACATTTCCTCATCTTTTCTACATCTTTCATGATATTGACATTTTGAAGAGCATAGATCAGTTGTTCTGAAGAGCATAAATGAGTTTCTCAATTTGGATTTCTCTGATGTTTCTTCATAATTAGATTCAGGTTATAAATTTTTTACAGAAATACCACAGAAGTGATGCTGTGTCCTCACTGCATCACAATTAGGTATGTGATGTCAGTTTGTCCCATTATTAGTGTGCATAACTTTTATCACTTGGTTAAAAAACATTTGCAATGCTTTTCCACCATAAGGTTATCATTTTTCCCTTTGCAAATTTTATGTAATATATAAGAAGATATTTTGAGACTTTATAAATATCTTGTTTCTTATGAAGTTTCACTTAATGATTTGGCACCCATTTATGTTGCTGGGTTTTTTGTTTTTGTTTTTGTTTTTGCCTGAATTGACACAAAATGTTTTGAAAATACACTGCAAATTTGAAAATGAACTAAGAGAAATTATAGAACTTCTAAATACAGACATTTAGAACAAAGAGATGAGTTGAAAACAGATAAGGCACAACTGATATGAAAATTGGTGAAAATATCCAGAAAAAAAGCAAAGAGAGACAATAAGATGGAAAATGCAGAAAAGTGAGAAAAGAGACATAACGGACAAAATGAGGAGGTCTGGGCTACATTTAAGGAAATGTAGAAGAGGAGAAAGAAGAGAGATGGAGGCAATATTCAAGGTGATAATGACTTACAGTTTTCCAGAACTAATAAAGGATATTAAAATTCAATGAAATGAAACTCAAGCAGGATAAGTAAAAATAAGTTCAAATCTAGACACATCAGAGTAGAAGTGCAGAAAATAAAATCAAAGAAAAAACATTAAAACTCCATTTGAAAGAAAAAGACAGCCATTGGTGCATCAGTAAGATGGATAACTGACTTGTCAAGAGCTACTACTATAGCCAGAAACCAATGGCAAGAGACCTTCAATATGCTGAAAGAAAATAATTAATTGCCAATCAAGAATTCTCTACACGCAAAAATATTCTTTCAGAATGAAAGCAAACTACACATTTTCAGACAAACCAAAGTGGAAATTTTGCCTCCAAGTCACATATTAAAACCTAAAGGTCATTTTTTAGGCTGAAGGAAAATTATCCCAGAAGGAAACACAAAGACTCAATGAAGAATCAAAAGCAAAGAATATGGGTTGTTGTAAATGACTGTATGAAGCAAAAATACTAATTTGTGGGGTTTTAAATATATTCAGAATTTATCTTTTTTTTTTTTTTTTTAAGAAGATGACTGGTAAGGGGATCTTAACCCTTGACTTGGTGTTGTCAGCACCACGCTCACCCAGTGAGCGAACCGGCCATCCCTATATGGGATCCGAACCTGGGGCCTTGGTGTTATCAGCACCGCACTCTCCCAAGTGAGCCACGGGCCGGCCCAATATATTCAGAATTTAAATAGATAATGTAGTACATTGAATGGTGGACCCCAAACAGATATATCCATGTCCTAAACCCCAGACCCTGCACATGTTACCTTATTTGGAAAAAAGCGTCTTTATTATGTAATTTAATTAAAGATCTTGAGATGAGGAGATCATCCTCGTTTATCCAGGTGGACCCTAAATTCAATGATAAGGTGTCCTTATCAGAGACACACAGGAGAGAAGGAAGCAGGGTGACCGTAGAGGCAGAGACTGATGTGACCGTAGCCAACGAATGCTTGGAGCCACAAGAAACTGGTAAAGGCAAGGAAAAAAAGAAAGGAAGGAATAGGCACACTGTCCCATGGAGCCTTCAGAGGAAGCACAGACTTGCCAATATCTTAATTTTGGACTTGTAGCTTCCAGAACTTTGAGAGAATACATTTTTGTTGTTTTAGGCCACCAAGTTTGTGGTAATTTGTTACAGCAGCATAGGAAACAAATACAACTAATATAGACAATAACAAATATCTGGTAGTTAATCAACACACTTTTGAAAAACTCATACATTAAAGAAGAAATCCTAAGGAAGATTAGAAATTATATTGAACCGAGTGAGAATGAAAACACAACATAGCACAACTTATGAGATGAAGCTAAAGCAGTTCTTATAAGGAAATTTTTATAGCTTTAAATAGTTAAAGTAGAAAAGAATAAAAATCTAAAATCTGTAACTTAAGCGTCTACCTCAAGAAGCTGAAAAAAAAGAAAATTAAGTCAAACTCAAAGAAGGAAGTAATAAAATATTAGAGCAGAAATCAGTGAAATAGAGGGGCCGGCCCGTGGCTCACTCGGGAGAGTGTGGTGCTGATAACACCAAGGCCACGGGTTCGGATCCTATATAGGGATGGCCGGTTGCTCACTGGGTGAGCGTGGTGCTGACAACACCAAGTCAAGGGTTAAGATCCCCTTACCGGTCATCTTTAAAAAAAAAAAAAAAAAAAATCAGTGAAATAGAAAATAGAAAAAAAAAAAATAGAGAAAATCAACAAAGCCAAAAGTTCATTTGAAAAGATCAACAAATTTGTACAACAAGGGATTGAAGTGGGAGGATGGGAATTGACTAGTAAGAAGTAAAGAGAACTCTAAAGAATACAGGAATAGGAGATTCAAAGAACATCTGCTACTCCCTAGATCTGAGATGGCGTACCCAAAGAAGAAACATCTGGTAGACACCACCTTCAGGGATGAAATCCAGACCTCATTGTAAAGAGTGAAGTCATATCTCACTGAATAGCACAGAAGCTTTGCTGTGACTACACCTCAGAACTCAGAGGAACTGTGAAGTTGCCCCTGAGATGATAGGAGTAAACCATTCACAGAGAGGTGCCAAGCTGGTGGCATTTCACTGCAAACCTACACCAGGTGGTACTAGGGAAACTGTCCATTGAGAGCTGCCATGTGCTACTGGCCAGTATGAACTGTTGGAATCAGGTGCTACTAGAGTCATGTTTTGCAGAACCATGTGTGCTGCTGGAGCCAGGACCTATGTTGCAGGAGCCTGGTGTACAGGAGTCCACATCTGCTGCAGGAGCCTGCCTAAATGAGCACATTGGAACCAAGAAGAGAAACCCTTTTTCTTCTTCCAGTGATCCTCCAGTGATCTCTACTGACAAAAACATGTTGTCAATGGGCAAAGAAGAAATATTTATGGGGTCCAGCTATATTATTGCAGAGCAGACAATGAAAGAGCTGAGAAAAATAAATTGATAGCTGGCAAAGTGACCAAGACCAAAAAAAATAAAATAAAATAAATAAAAAAAAATAAGACTGAAGACACAAGTTAGTAAATTCAAGAATGAATGCAGGGGGGCCGGCCCATGGCTCACTCGGGAGAGTGTGGTGCTGAGAACACCAAGGCCATGGGTTCAGATCCCATATAGGGATGGCCAGTTAGCTCACTGGTGAGCATGGTGCTGACAACACCAAGTCAAGGGTTAAGATCCCCTTACCGGTCATCTATAAAAAAAAAAAAA